AGAAAAGACTTACTTGTACTCACCAAACCTGGCTTAACCAATGTACTGTACACTCAGTGCACTTGCACAAAGCCCTCATCTCAAGAGGGCCTCTGAGGACCTGAGCCAGACAGCCCCCCCCCCCCGGAGCAGTAAAATCAGCATAGTCTATGCTGGCTCATCTGATCCTGAGAAGCTGAAAAAACAGATATGTGGAGAGAGAGCGATTAAGGCAATCAGCATAGCCATTAAGCTTTGATCTGCTTTGATGCAAGATCAGAATATGCGAGTCTGCCCCGTCTGGCACCCATGTTGATTCGAACACACACACAGTCCCTGGGAGAGGAATTTCCCACTGAGAAAAGAATCCCCAGTAATTCCAATTTAGTTATCTCTCTTACAAGTGTAAATTAAGTTCACAACTCCCTTGTAAGAACTGGTCTCACAAAAGACAGACCAGCCCCATTTGGCATGACAGACAAGAAAGAGAAATACGTGACCCCATGAGTATAAAAGATGGGCCCAGCACACACTCACTTTGAGTGTCATTCTACCCTCTACCTGCTGGTCGGGTTAGGTGTTTGACCTCCCGAGGTTCTATGGGGACGCCCACCTCGTATTTTCGTCTTTCCTAGGAATTGAGGGACCGGCCCTGGCCTGACATGCTGGAGTCGAGAGGCACAGAAGGGGGTAAAAATGGTACCTGGATGTGGTCCTCTGTCTTAAGTGTACACATAGAAAGAGTAAGCTGTTACTTGGTACCATTATTTCTATTTTTCTATCTTTATCTTCTTTGTAACCATTTTTAAGACCTATATTTTGCTAATAGTTAAAAAATAGAGAAATAGCCATTGTAACCATATGATTTATAAGCTTCTTTAATAAACCTGTAACTGTTTAAGCTTTAACCTGACTCCTTCAGTTGCTGTAACAGAACCAAGCACAATTTAAAAGAACTTCAGCCGGTCATAAAGGGACAGTTATAGGAAGAGCTTGGGCGTTTGGATCTGTGTCACTCCCAGGTGACAGGGTCCACTGGGGCACTTCTCAGCCTCTCCTGGGCTGCCCGCTGTGAAGGAATTATGAATTCTAGCAGCTAAAATCTGAAGTGTAATAAGCTCTTCCTGTACACACTGGGGCGTCTGTGAGCCTGTTTGGCTACCCTCTGCGACGGGACCTCGGTCCTAGCAGTAAAGTCACGGACATTAAACTATTTTTTCGGGGCGCCCTCCAGCCTCCTAGGCTGCCCGCTGCAACGAGACTTTGTGTCTCAGCAGTTGAAGACTTGGGTGTAACACACACGCACACACTGCCCTGACCGTCGGCTGACAGGACCCCTAGAAAACTGAGGGGTGCTGCAACCCCATGCCCTACGTTGCAAAGAATGGGGATGGAGGAAATGGGGGGAATTGTGGAGGCAGGAAGTCAGTGGTTCTCAAACTTTTTGGACTATGGCTCACCTGGCTCAATGCAAACCTTTGTGTGGACCATCAGTTTCTAATAGAAACTCATTATTAATTACATAATTACACCTGAGCCGTTTTGCTAGGGATAACGGTTTAATTTAACCAGTAAGAAAGGAAATATCAATTTAACTTATTAAGCAGATTAAGCACTTTAACTTTCTCATGTTTATTTAAAATCAAGTTTGATAAAGTAAGTAAAATATTTTATGTTCAACACAAAAGGTTCCCATGTTTTCTTTAATTATGGCAGGGGTAGGGAACCTTTTTTGGGTCAGCGGCCACTGACTCAAAAAAACCAAAAAACCAACCAACCAAACAAACAAAAAAAACACACCACACTAGATCAGGGACCACACAAGTGAGCAAAGAGAAAAAAAAAACTACCACCTTTCAAAACCCCCAACCTTCGCTGATGTGACCTAGAGCTGACACACATCATTCCTTTGGCACTCCAACCCCACTGGGAGGAAGGACTGAGGGAGGACTGAGGTTCAGGGCTTCCCTTAGGCCAGATTTACTCTTCTGGGGTTGCAGGGTTAGTGGATTTTGTAGAACCACCCCGGTTCTGGAATTGGGGGGGGAGGGGTTTCAGTGTGCAGGACAGGGCTGCTATCGAGAGGAATGGAGGTGCAGGAGGTGAGTGAGGGTGTAAGGTCTGGGTGGGAAGTGGGGTGCAGGAGCAGGCTGGGGGTAGCATGTCTGGCTGGTGGAGGAGGCAGGAGCAAGGGAGGGTACAAGAGTAAGGATGTTAAGTAATTGTCTAGCTGAGTAGTCGATGGACTTTCCATCGACTACTTGACTAGTCATGTACATTTCAAAGGAGGAATGCAGAACTCGTGTAGACGAGGGCGTGCTAGCTTTGAAATGTACAAGAGTCCCCAGCTTTTTTGCCTCTATCTGATAGAGACAGCAAGACTGACTGACTATCTGATAAGTTTTTGCTTATCAGATAGTTGACTAGTCCTTAACATCCTTATGCAGGAGTGGGCTGGAGTCAGGGTGTCTGGCTAGGAGAGGGGTAGGAGCAGGGGAGGAGGGTGCAGAAGCAGGCTGAGGTTGTGGGATTTCAACAGGGAATAGTTGATGAGAGGGGGCTGGGAGTGTAGGGGGGGCACTTGTTCTCATTCCCCGTGCAATTCCCAGGCAAGGCCTCCCACTGCTCCCATTGGCTGGATTCCAATGGGAATTCTGGCTGGATTCCTGCCAATGGGAGCAGCAGGGAAAGCTTCCAGGCAGTGTGCCCGCAGGCTGCTGTTCCCCAGGAGAGAGAAGGAGAGCAATTCCTTCCCCATGAGCTGGATCATGCAGTGAGGCTTGGCGCTTTCTCCCCATACACGCCCCCAGAGCAGGAAGCCAGCACTAGTTCTCCAACCTCCCAGGGGATGGAGGGAGGGCGAGGCTGGAGTGCCAGCCTGGGTGTCCTGCTGTGGGAGGAAGGGGTAGGCTGAGCTTGAGCCGTGGACAATCAGGAAGGCAGCCATGGAGCACTAGTTGTTCACGGACCGCAGTTTGAGAACCACAGCTGTAAGAGGAAAGGGGGAATACTGGAGACGATGGAGGCTACAGTGAGCAGAATATAGGTCAGCTGTTGGGATGTGTAGATGGTGGTCAGGATAAGTAGGGGCTGCTGAAGCACTGTTGGGAGGGGCAACTGTTGTGAGGGGCATTCAGGGGTTTGTGCATAGAGAAAGGTATGTGTGGGATGGCGATGGAAGGAGCATGTTGGGGTCTGTAGGTGGGATATTTCATGGTGTGGAAGCACTTTGTTCAGGGCCCCAAATCCTTAATCTGGCATAGGTACTGATGAGCATGGGCAGACCTTTGTGTAAGTTTCTAGAGCATAGGCAATGATTTGATGTTGCAATGAGCTGGAAGGGAATTCTAGGGCATTAACATTCAAAGGAGCGCACCCCTGCATGTCCTAAGCTTCTTTAGTTTAGAATATGTTCTAAATGAAACAATGAACATTTTGGGCTGTCAACCAATTAAATAATTGCAATTAATCATGAGATTAAAACCGACTAATCATGACTACTTTTGAATTATAATACTAAACAATAACAGAATACTAGGGATGTTAAATATCGGTTAACTGAATAGTTGATTAACCTCATGAATTCTTATCGGTTAGCCGAGTATACTATAGAGCTTGAGGGTGGGGCTGGCAGCCAGTGTGCTCTGGTCCCACTCCTGAGGAGCCTCCTGCCACTCTGCACTGCTGCCTCTGTTACAGAGGCAGCAGCATGGGGTGCCACGCAGGAGCTGGTCTATGAGGGAAGCCAGTTTAAAAACCAGCTCCCCGCACAGACCAGCTGCCTGTCACAGAGGCAGCAACATGGGGTGAAAGCAGCCCCTGTTCATGGGTGGGTCTGAGCTCATGAACCCAGCACAAGTTGGAACTGAGCTGGGCTGCCTGCCCACCTGGCTCCTAATGCACTTTAAATGCAGAGCCACAGCAGGGGTAGGTCTCAGATCCAGTGCGAGCCAGGACTGAGCCTATTGGCCAGCCTGCTAAAAAATTTACTGGGGGGCGGGGGGGAGGGAAAGGATGCATGTAGTCTATAGCATTTACCTATAAGCTTTTGCTTGTCAGTTAATCGACTACACTATTACATCCCTACAGAATACCAATGAAAATCTACTACAATTTGTTTAGATGTTTTCCAATATTTTCTAATATATTGATTTCAATTACTTTTAATTATTTTTATTACAAATATCTGCACTGTAGAAAATGGTATTTTTGCATTCACCTCATACAAGTACTCCAGAACAATTCTTTTATTGTGAAAGTGCAACTTAAATACAGATGTAGAATTATTTTATTTTACATAGCTACACTCAAAATCAAAACCGTAGAGCTTAAAAGTCCATTCTTGTACAGCTAGTACCTACTTCTTGTTCAGCTAGTACTAAGACAAACTAGTTGGGGACATCAGACTCAGACGATAAAATGAAGGCACGTCAGGTTGCACTGCTTTGGATCATTATCCAACGGAACCCATCATCGGCATTAAAGTGTGCCCCCTAGAATGATGGACAAGGCATAAAAGGGCATACAAATGTTCAGCGTATCTGGAAAGTAAATATCTGGCAGCACTGTCTGTAACACTGTCATGTGAATGCCTAGTCTCACTCTCAGTTGACAATGTAAATAAGAAGTGAGCAGCATTATCTGCTGCATATATAAACAAATGTGTTTTTGTAATTATTAAAATAAATAAATGAAACAATTCTATGTTTGTAAGTTGCACTTTCATGATAAAAGATTGTACACGGTGAATGGAAATACCATTTTTACTGTCCAAATATTTGTAATAAAATACAGAATGAGTAATATATAATACACTTTGATTTCAACTGCAGCATAGAATATAACATTCTGAAAAAGAAAAATATCCAAAATACTTATAATACATTTAAATTGGTATTCTATTATTGTTTAGAATTGTGATTAACCACACCTATTTTTTAAAAATCTACTTAATTTGTTTTGCATTAATTGCATGCATTAACTGTGATTAATTGACAAATAGCATGAGGTCACACACTTACCATGGAAGAGTTCTTTTTCTAGCTGTTCATTCCATACAGGTGCACAATTCTCCATTTCAGCTTGGCTTGCATCAAATACATTACCAGGCAGTTCAGCTGGTAAAGATGAGTTGCATGTTTCAGCCTGTTGAAAAGTTTAAAGGTCTGTACAACTTATTTCATAGCAAAACAAATCATCTTAATATGGACAAGAGGAGAGAAAAGCCTCATGGGTGCCAGTATTCTTTTTAACATATGCTTGAAATCACTGTGCTGCACATGTGGAGAAATAAACTTCATATAGTAGGAACAAGGGATTTGGAACAATCATCTACAGTTCTTGATTGTGGAGGGGGGATTTTAGTGCATCTTGTCTTGAGGCTGTAGCACACTTCAGAGCACACTAAATATCAGTTAATCACAAAGCCATCCTTATAGTTGTTGGCCTTTTACTCATTACATCTCCACATATCCTTCTAGAACAGGGGAGGCCAACCCATTACAGACAAAGAGCCAAAACAGTTGTGGATACACGCAAAGAGCAGAGGGAAAAAAGTTGAGGAGGGGGAAAAAAAAAAAGAGAAGGGCAGAACAGGCATTTCCCTTTTAAGGTGACCATTTTGAACTCTGCACAGGACACCGTGACTCCGGCTCTGTCTCTTTGTCTCTTTCAGACAAAGCTGAAACTTTTTCTTTGGAGAGCCGCATGTGGCTTGCGAGCTGTGGTTTAGCCACCCCTGTTCTAGAAGGCTATTGCCTCTGTAATTTCAGTTTTCCTAAGCCATGCTTCTTTCATGGGCACATTTACAACCTACACCAACAGGTAATATTTTACCCCCCAGCAAAAAATTACTAAGCACCACTGTGAACGCTCCTACACCAAGCTTTCATCTTTACACTGTACTACCAGATACTTTACTAGTATTTAATAAGATTGATTAGTAATGGTTTAATGAAACAAAATTCCACTTGTGATACTTTACTCTTGAGATTTCAAACAGTGTTTTCACATACACATGAATTCAAAAAACATTCAGTAATTAGTAATCAGTCTCACAATTCTCATTTCCCCAATCTATTCCAGTGGGAAGCAGTTTGGTCATGGGTGAGTATTCCCATGGCTGTAAGCGGGTACCTTTGCTATACCATCTGCTGTTAGCACATGGAAGTTTTATCTGTGACTGTCATGAATCTGCTACCTAATTCCACCAGCCTCTGGCAATACAAACACAACCTTCCAGGCCTTGCTCTCTCTGAGCAGATTAGCTATAGGCAGACACCAACCCCATAGCTCCCAGAAGATCCTGATCCCCTGAACACTTAACTCTCAGATGCTCTGCACCCAAAGGAATAGCACACATCAGCTTATTAGATTCAACTTAGGATCATTGCTTCGTTTAACATACAGCACTTAGACACATTTACAGTGAAAACAAGAACAAGTATATTATCCAAGAATTGAGATTCAAATGATAGCAAGATTGTTAGAAACAGATTCTAGGGCTGCTGATTAATTGCAGCTAACTCAACATTAATTTACTCTTGGATATGTACTTTTAATACTCCAGTCATCTGAAAAAGTGGTTTATGCCCATGAAAGCTCATGACACCATCTACATGTTTCGTTAGTCTTTAAGGTGCTACTAGACTATTTGTTATTTTAAGTTTTTCAAAATTAATTGCTAAACAGTAAGACCAACTGAAAATTATTTTTTGTGGATTTTTTCTACATTTTCAATATTTATTTCAATTACAACAAAATACAAAGTGTACAGTGCTCACCTTATATTATTTTGATTACTAAATATATGCACTGTAAAAATGATAAACAAAAGAAAAAGTATTTTTCAATTGACACCATGCAAGTAGTGAAGTGCAATTTCTTTATCATGAAAGTGTAACTTACAAACGTAGATTTTTGTTGTTGTTACATAACTACACTGAAAAACAAAACTATGTGAAATTTTAGAGCCTACAAGTCTATTCATCCTTTTTTCCCCCCTGGCAGTTAAGACAAACAAGTTTGTTCACATTGACAGAAGATACTGCTGCCTGCTTCTTATTTACAATGTCACCAGAAAGTGAGAACAGGTGTTCCCATAGCTACTATGTATATTAAATATTCATATGTCCCTTTGTGCTTCAGCTAAAGTCCAGAGGACGTACTTTCTTGCTAATGATGCTCTTTACAAAAATAATGCATTAATTAAACTTGTGACTGAACTCCTTGAGGGAGAACTATGTCTCCTGCTCCATTTTACCTGCATTCAGCCATACAGGCAGTCCCCGGGTTACGTACAAGATAGGGACTGTAGGTTTGTTCTTAAGTTGAATCTGTATGTAAGTCGGAACTGGCGTCAGCCGCTGCTGAAACTGATCAGTTTCAACCGCGGCTGAATCTGGATGCCAGATTCAACTTAAGAAACCCAGGCGTCCCCAAGTCAGCTGCTGCTGAAACTGATCAGCGGCTGATTCCAGGAAGCCTGGGGCAGAGCA